AGAAAAGTGAGAGAGAGAGAGGAGACAAAAAAAGAGAGACCAATGACAAAAAGAGAGAGAGAGAGAGAAATTAAATTTGAGAGAGAGTTGAGAGTCAAGAGTCAAGAGTCAAGAGAGAGAGAGAGAGAGAGAGAGAGAGAGTTAAGAGAGTTTGAGAGTTTGAGAGTTTAAGAGAGAGTTTAAGAGAGAGTTTAAGAGAGAGTTTAAGAGAGAGTTTAAGAGAGAGAGAGAGAGAGAAGAGTTTGAGAGAGTATAAGAGAGATGGAGAGAGAGAGAGAGAATTAAAGTGCTGCTGCTTGTGCTGGGAAGGCGGCGACGAGCGGATTCATCTGGAGGGCAAGGGGTGTGAGTGTGAGTGTGGTGGTGGTGGTGATGGAGGTGGAGGTGCAGTGTCCAAGGTGTGGGCGGAGCAGCTTCTTGCCGTTGAGCTGCTCGCGCTGCGCTCTTCAGCTGTGGTTGGTTGATCTTGATGGGGCTGCATGGTTGGGTGAACTGGGCGCCTGGGTCAGGTGCTCATCGAAACGGGCGCACGCTTGGTGCCTCTCAAACGTAGCGAGCAGTGTTTCTCCGCGCATGTGGCAGAGCATGCTGCAGCAGACTCACGGGGTCAGACGGCAGGCCCCACACTCGACTTGAGCGATAGTAAATCAGTTTGCCACGTCCCCGGTTGCACCAAGGCTAGCTTGGCCGTCTGTGCCGCTTGCCAATTAAACGTCTGTGCCCAGTAAGCTGCACCCTCAAGGCACTGCTGAGCTCCGGCGGCTCCGGCTCGTGAGCTCACTTGATGTACTTTGACGCTGTACTTTTAGGCATCGCCATGCTGAAGACCACGACTGCCCTCCTTCGCGGGCTGCCCAAACCGCAGCGCAAGCCGAGGCCAGCCACCGACAAGCCGCCGCAGCCGCCAACCTCGACCAGGCACAGGTTGGTCCTTTGCCGCTGCCGGCGCCCCTGCCGTCCTCCCCTTCAAATGCCATGGCCTCTCCGCTCCTCCTTAACGATCAACCTGTTTTTTTTCCCGTTTGCATCAGGCCAAGAGCAAGGCCTACTCGGCCCGCAAGCTAGCCAAGGGCGGTGCAGCAGCAGATCGGGTGCTAAACATGAAGATGCGCAGTCGCGCCATCAAATTTGCGACGGGCACCGGTGCCACCACCACCTTCTTGATTGCGTGTGGACTGCGCAGCCCGGGTCAGCTGGACCACGTCGTGGCTGTGACCGTCGGTGCCAAGCAAACCCTTGGCTGGCTCTTGGGACGCCTGCAATCTCACCTCAAGGTGGCCCCGCTTGTGTCCAGCAATGTTTCCCAACCCAATGCTCTCGTCTGGCGCTTGCCTCGTGACGGGCCACCCGTGCCAGCCGCCCTGACAGACGCCTGTGCCACCATCCAGTCCCCGGGCACCGTGCTCCTTGTCACCCTGCCCTCGACATGTCAAGAGGATTGGGAGCTGACCACATGGGCCGACTGCGTTGCTGCGCTTTAACCTGTTTGCCCACGACTTGTGCCGTCCTCAGTGTTAAGCACTGCTTTTCCCTTTGCCCAGCACTTGTGGGATCCACAAGCCGATAAGAGCGCTGCGCGCTGTTCTCTCCTGCGTTTCTTTCCCCCACTTTTTTTTTTTTTTTCCTGTGGTCAGCATGCCATATTCTTTTCCTTGGTTGGTTCGGGATTCAATCAATTGGGGTATCAGCTCGTTGCTCCCGCCATGATGCTGCGCATCTCCTCAACATAAAAGTGCGCATAAGGTTCAGTCACAGGTCCTTGTCGTCAACTTGTGAAAGGCCCCGGAAAAGTCCATGGCCATCGCTCACTCGAGCGGCAATGGGTCGCGTACGGGGAAGCCGCTGGCTTGCAGCTCCTTGCGCCAAAAGGCCGTGGTTCGCTCCATGGCCTGGCTCTGCGTGTATCGCGGCTTGTATCCAAAGTCGCGGCGTGCCTTGTCATCCCGAAAGTAAAAATTGTTCGAGGCCAGAAGCACCACCGAAGTCCGCAGTTTGGCCACTATGGCATCCCAAGGAAAAGCACAAACGAAGTCAGCTGGAGCTCAGTCAAAAGGTCACGGCGTTCCGGACCGCACGGGACCAAGTTGAACAACGTACAGTCACCCAGGTGAGGACCAACAGCCCCCTTTGTGAGCCAAATCAAGTTGTCAACCAGGCCCGGCAGGGTGTTGCGCACAAAATCTGGCACAATCTCACGCTTGTGGCCCATCATCGCATAAAGCTAGAAAGAGAGTCGGCCAATCAATCAACGCACGCAATATACCATGTTCCCCGTTTGCTCGAGACGAAGGTGGGCCCCGTTTTCCCAGTCATTGCAAAAGCAGGCACATACGCGATTGTAGAATGGCCCAGTCTTCATCGGCTCGTCGCCAGCATTGGGCTCATCAGTCACAAAGTAGGCCTAAAGCAGATGGGGATGAGACTGCCATGGAAGCTGTGTCATCCACTCATGGGCCGCCAATGCCCGTTCCTGAGGAGAATAATGTCCCAAATGCTATGAACATACCTTTCCAGCACAGCGGGCGGCCGGTGACTGAAGAATGGCGTCACTGGCCAACAGACAGGCATGGGCAATGTTCTCCGAGTACGTATGAGCAGTCACCTCGTTGTCACTGGGCGACAAACCAGGCTGGTTGGTGTAGATCTGCGAGAGGTAGCACGGCGATGTCAAGCTGTGCTGTATTGGTATTGGTGTTGGTCGACAAAAACAAATGCCAAAGGAGGCAAAAGTAGAACTTACAGTGCCCAAAAAGAGTCGATCGTGGGGCCCATAAATACCCCCTGGGCGAACGGCGACGGTGTGCAAGCGTCCAGTACCATTGGCTTCCAGCACCGCGCGCTCAGCTAATGAGGGTGCCGCCATACAATTAGCGGCAAAAGAACAGCAAGTGCGTTCTGATTCACGGCACGGAAGAAGATTGGTGGTCAAATTGGATTGCGGCACGCACCCATGGCCTTTGTCTTAACGTAGTGGCAGACAAAGGGCCCCTTGGTAACAGCCTCAGTGTTGTCCTCATCGAGATTGCACAGCGTGCCGGCTTTCAAAGTCTCTGGCGTCACCACGACGGAGGTCGAGGAGATGTGCACCAGGACACGGACATCATGCTACACGGATCAATAGGTGAGTCAAGCCAACAAGGTGCGCTGGGGCCAAAAAAAAAGAAAAAAGGAAAAAAAAAAAAAAGCCGAATCTCGCGAGAGATGGGGAGGAGCTCACGATGCACCGGCTGAAAGCTTGGCGATGGGACTCTCACCTGGAGGCAGGCATCAATGACCGAGCAGGCAGCGTCATAGTTGATGGCCTTGATGGCGTCATATTCAAAATCAAAGCGAGACCAATAGTTGACGGCTGCGGCGGTGTGAATCACGACATCTGCACCCTGCAGCGCCTCGTGCACTTCGCTGGGCTTGCACAGGTTGCATTGACGGAAAGTCACCCGGCCGTCGGCGCGCTCAGCCTCAAAGAGCGAGGAATCCTGGATGTCGACGACGGTAATGTGCGTCTCACCCCGGGCCAAGAGTGCCTCAACGACGTTGGAGCCCAGCGATCCATGACCACCCGTCTGTCAAGACACATCAAAAGAGGCGGCAGCGCATGAGAGAGAAGGCCTTGCTTGGCAGATCTGAGGAGAAATGAGCGCGCCGGGCAAGGGCACAGTTGCACAAACCCACCACAACGTAATTGACACCCTGCTTGCTTGTGACGGCCTCGGGATGATGGCGGATGTGCTTGACATCAGAGATCTGCATCATACGATACCCGGAGGAGGACTTGTAGTGAGCAATCGGCCGACAAGATCCACAACATGCGGCCACATGATGCCCCATGCCCTCGGGCCACAAATCGGCAAGATCGGCGAATGACCTACCTTGAATGCGGGGTCTTTGGACGTTTTCTTCAGCTTGCTGGCAGCCAAGCCGACCGCAGCCAGCCCGGCGGCAGCCCACAAATATGTGCTGTCCATGTTTGCTGCACAATGTGTGTCTGCTGTGGTAGCAAACCAAACGCGCCAAATCCATCAGCCCCCACCACCAACGAACCAGTCCCCTTTGACCCGTCGACGCCAACCTGCCCACCAATACAACCACCCGCACACCACCCCAACAGCATCCACCAAGGCCCGCAACCCTTGGACGGACCAGCATGGTCTTCAAACCCCCGCATGCCCCCTGCCACCAGACTCACATGCTGCCAGATCCGAAAACGTCAGAAAAAAAAAGTGAAAAGAGAGAGAGAGAGAGAGGAGTGTGTCTGTGTCCAAACGAAATACCACATGTAAATAATTGAAAGAGAGAAACAGGTTTGCTAAGAAAGGAGATGTGTGTGTGTGGCTGGAATGGAGAGCGGCAATGGTTCATGGCAACATGGGAATAAGGTAGAGCGGGGCATCAATTCGTTCAAACTCGGCCAAGTGAATGGGAGACTCACCCTCCGCTCCCCCCTCCAAAAAGCGGCAGCGTACGCTCCCCAGATCGCTTCAAATCCAAGGATGGAAAACACAAGATGTGAATGTTTGTACAAACAGAAAGAGGTGAAGCTAAGACGAGGGCGCAGATGCCGTGTGGTCCATTCGCGCAACCTGCAGCGCTGGCTCTGGGTGGGCTGGCATTGCATGGTTGGGTTTGGTCTTGCACGAGGGGCCGCGGCAGGCCTTGAGCTCAGCCAAGCGCTCGTGCTGTTGTTGAATCAGGTCGGCAGGCGCCGTGTGGATCTGGTTCTGACGCTGCCAAGGATCGGCTTGGATGTCGTAAAACTCGGCAAAGCCGCTTTCAAACTCACAGTACATCCAGTTCTTGCTGGTATTGGCTGGATCCAGCGTACGCAAACACCAGTATGTGTTGTTATGGCTGTCTTGGCATGAGCAAATGGGATCTTGATTCCAAAAAGGCGGGTGATTGTTCATTTCCGGGCCGACTGTGCTTCCCCGGAAAAGGCGTCAGGGACGGTGAACAGGTAGGGTCAGCTGATGATGGCCGCACACGGCGCGCGCCTAAGCAGGCTACGTCTGGCGCATCGACTTACCGTTGGAGCAGAACATATCAGCCACCTTGCATTGCGAGACGTTGGTTTCGGCTGTCGCGCTGATGCCTTCACCATGATACTCAACCTAATGTTCAGACACAAGGAAGGCGGGCGAACGTGTTGCAATGCCCACGCGAGTAAGAGGGCCATTCCCATCATAGGCAAAGTTTACAGTCCAGGTGCAATGCACAACGCACCAAAAAGTCGACGCGGAGAGGCTCCCGGCCTTGCTGACCAGCAGCATGTAGACCCGGCAGCATGGAGATGCCATCCATAGTGTCGGGAATGGGAATGCCCGCAATGTCCAGGAAAGTTGGCGCAAAGTCCACCAACGTCACAGGATCGTTGAGGATGGTGCCTGGGGCAATGCCAGGGCCGCGCGCCAGACCTGGAATGCGAATATCCGACTCATAAGGATTGCGCTTGTCCTTCATCAACGCAAATTGGCCCAAATGATAGCCGTGGTCCGAGCTGTAGAAAATGTACGTGTTGTCGAGCAAGCGCTTGCTTTCAAGATAAAAGGTGATGTTACCCACAATATCGTCAACCTAGACCACGGGGAGCAATGCCGAGCATCAAATAAAGTCGAAGTGCGCTGGTTCCACCATTGCATGCGTCCGGGCGCAGGCATTGCATCGAATGGCGCCCGACTCGAATAACGTACCGACATCAAGGTGAGGGCACGGCGACGGTATTGCAGATCATTGTAAGCCTCCTGTTGCTTGGTGTAGCCTACATGATCAGTGACCGTTTGCATGCTTAAGAAAAAGAAGGACCATGGCGATGGCATCGCTCCATCTCGTTTCAGTCTCACGAGGCAAGGATTCAAACCACCCATGAGTTGCGTGCGTAGCTGCATAGCGTACTTACCATCGCAGTGACCAGCGGCGCAGTTTTGTTGAGCCGCATACCAATGCTTGTCGCTGGCAAAACCACCTACCAACACAAAGTTGAAGCTGAGGGCACCGCATTTCAAGTCTTCTCGCATGCTGTGCCACAAAGTTTTGATTCCTTCCTGTCTGCCATCATTGTGCGCAAGCTCTCACAGTAAGAGCACACAATTATGCTTGACGCTATAGGTAGAGCTTACCGTAATTGGGCGTGCGAGGAGCTGTGGCATTGACCATCAGGCCCGCATATTCGGCGGCTGGTTCAGTCGGATCGTGGCAGGATGGGGTGGCCACCATCATGAAGAATGGTGCATTATCGTCGCTGGAGGTGACATTTTCCAAAAACGCCATGGCCTTGCGCTGCAGCACCTTGGGCAGGTAATCGGCCTCGGGGTCGTCACCGTGCTTCTCTGCTTGACCGTTGTTGGAGATGGTGTAGTGATAGTAAATTCTATCCCAATGTCCGAGCATGGCTTGTGAGTGGAGAAGAAAGGCGGATGGCAGCATCTCAGGGAAGAAAGACGACGTACGAGTTGCCGACGAGGCCCTGCCAGTCAGTCCAGCCGGGGGGAAAAAGGCTGACGCCGCCATCGGCGTCAGTACCATAGGTGTTGAGATACTTGCCACTGTAATGCGTCTTGTATCTATGAATGGAACGCAATGCATCGTCCAGTTCAAGAAAGTCACCAAGCGTCCGATATCGTGAGCAGGTTCAAAGCCCATGGACCAAGGGGGCACCAACCCTGCTGCGTGAAGGTAGGTTGCAAAGTTTTTTTTCTCGGCATTTTCGCGCCATAGTGGGCCCGAGCAGTTGCCAGCAATGCTGTTGTTTTTAGCCGGCACATTGTGGATGTAGCGTCCAGTCTGGATGCCACTGCGTGAGGGGCAGCACACGGGTGTAGACGCCATCATGGCCGCCATGCTCACTGTCAATGTCAATGTCAAGCGCAAGGTCGAGTGAATCTCAAGCCGGCAGGCGGCGCCATGGCAACAAGACGAATCCTCCTACCGCCTTGTCTCATGATGAGCTCCTGAAGCTTTGGCTGCGAAATGTAGGCCATGTTCATGTCCTATGTGGACAGCGCCATCAGCAAAGCGAGATGGACAGCCAGGTGAGAGAGTTTGAGAGTTTGAGAGGGAGAGAGCTTGAGAGGGGGAGAGAGAGGAGAAGGAAAGGGCGGGGTGGTTACGAACTTGATCATCCGTGAGGATAAAGACAATGTTGGGTTTGTTGGCTGCTGATGCCACGCCCAGGCACAGGGCCCACAGTGCCAAGATCAGCTACCGCAAGCGCCAGGCGAGTCCAACGTGATTGACACGTTCCAAATCCCAATCACAACAACAGATCCCGTGCTCGTCATCGGACTGTATACCCCTCCCACCCCCACCCCCCGCAGGATAAAAGAACTAGCCACAGACACGCCACAACCAAGCAGAGAGCCCCGAGATCTGCCCAGGAGGTCGCCGATGCAGCGGTCAACGATCCACTCACCTTGTTCATGGCTGATGGTGAAAAAAAAAACACACACATACACAGAGAAAAAAAAGAAAATACAAACAAACGGAACAGTCTCTTATGGAAAATGGTTGTGTGAGAGAAGCAGTTTTGAGAGAGGTAGGGAGCTTTAGGGGGTCGTCGTAGCCAAGTGGGAGAGCAGCCATGGAGGCGCATGCGAGAAGACGGCGAGGGGAAGAGGGTCTGACACAAGTATTGGCGCGCTTTTGACTCGTCCCGTTTTCCCCAGAGTCGGCAGTCTCTGAGGACAAGAATGAACGGGCTTTGCATTTGCGTCCTGTTGTGTCTTTTTCAAGGATCAGGTCTAAATTCGAGATGCCTCTCACTGGGTCGGACCGCTTCGTTGGAAACCGGCAGCCATCGCTCTGCGATACGCTGACGATGCAACTATGAGCGGGCGAGGGCGGTGATTTGGTTGAGGCGCGCCGAGAGGGTGGCATTTTCCTGCCGCAATTGCGCTAGCTGCCGGGCCTGCTGTCGGCATCGCTCCAACAGCTCATCCCGACTACGTGGGGCAAAGTGGGTGCGTGAGCTGGCCGTTCTGTTGTCAAACATTCATTCCATGCTCCCACACAAATGCCTCGTTGAAATTGGCGCACATACCTCAGGCTCTCGAGACCGCCCAGCTTGGGTTCGGGTCCCATGAGATCGGCAAGTGCAGCTCCTCCGGCGCTCGCGGTTGGCATCGGAGCTGGGGCCGACAGTGGGCTGGGCTGTGGGTCGTGGGCTGATGTAGAATCATGGTGCATGCTGAGTGGCATTGTGGCGTTGAGCACCTCGGTTGGTCGGCGCGTAGGCACACTCAATGACGATGTGCTGGAGCTGGAGTGTTTGCGCTGGGCCAAACGATCCGATGGAATATACTCGCAATCCATCTCGTTACGTAGCCAGTCTGAGAAGCATGAAGCAAACACGGGCAACCTGGTCAAAGACTGCCTCCATGCGACGACTCAGGGGTCGAGAGATTGAGAGATTGAGAGATCAAGAGATCGAGAGGGACAGAGATAGACACAGAGACAGACACAGAGACAGGCACAGGCACACAGGCACAGGCACACAGACACAGGCTGCGTACGCACCAGGCAGGCTTTCGTCGCCATCACTGTCACTGTCGCTGTCCGGGTAGGAGCCTGGGATACCATGGGCATCGGTGGCAGCCTTGCGCGGCGCTTGAGCTGGCATCATGGGAAAGGGATCAGACTCTTGCCGGGTCAGCACCACGTGCTTGACCATCGCTTGGACGTCGCTTTCGCGTGAACGGTCCATAGCAGCACTGTCCCGGCGTTCGCGCGCGAGTTCTTGGGCCAGCCAGGCTGGAATTGCCCCACTATGATCCCAGCTTGACGTCTCAGTGTCTGAGGCATTGGCAGTCTGCGGCTCAGTATTCGTGGTCTCCGTTGGACGAGGACTGGCCTCCACGAGCTCGGGCTCGGCCTCTGACTCTTCCCCGCCAAGACTCTCCTCGTCGTCCCCGAAAAACGAATTGTGGCTTTCAAGGCTCATGTTGAAGACCGATTGTGACAGCGAGGAAGAGAGAGACGAGTGTCGCATCTCAACTTGCGAGACGACTTGTCGTGCAAGCACCATGGATGACGAGCCATGCGCTGCCACGGTCACCACGTTGTCTACAAGGTCGTGCGTGAGGCAAGCATGTCAGACCATGCCAGCATGCAGCCCCGTGACTCGTGTATTGGGTCAGTGTCGAAACGCACCATAGCTACGAAGGCAGCGCGGCCGCCGCACGGCCTTTTCAGGAAAGGGCAAACGCGCATCCTCCGCTCGGCCCCACACATAGATGTGGCCATCCCTCGAGCGAGCGAGGCAAAAGTCGTCGCCGCAGGCCACTTGAGCCATCTACGTAGTCACACACGGCGCACGCCAGTTCTTGTGAAATGGGGACACGTGCATCAATCGTGCAGACGCAAAAGCGCATCTGTTCCAGCGACTTCCGACGAGCGTCACGGGCTGGACGTACCTTTGTGTGAAGTAGATGACGCACAAGCCGAGGACCATCCCCATGTGCCCGCTTGTCAGGCGTGCCAAGCTGGCCGTACAGATTGCTGCCACAAGTCACAATCCGGCCCTGGCGATCGACCATGGCAATGTGCTCATTGCCAATGGCCACCTGCAGAAACACAGAGGGCGGCGCTTTGGTCAGGCGGCGATCATCTTGACAGCGCAACGAGAGGCTTGTCATCTAAAACACAATTCAATGGAGCAAGAAGCTAACCTGTGCCACGTGCTGTAGCAGCGGTTGGTGTTTGATTGGCATAAAGTTGAGGGCGACACGGACCGAGCCCGCGGTTTCCCCCGATTCGGTGGCACCGTGGGTTTTTCGCAACTTTGAAATGACGGTAATGGGCGCGTTGAGGCCAAAGCGATTGCTGACATTGTGCCCGGCCGCCAGTAGATACCCTGTGTCGGTGACCAGGATAGTGGCTTCTGGCCCGCAGGCCAAACGTGCAATGGTTATGTCACCATGGAGAGGAACCAGCGTGGGCTCGAACCGGTCATCTTCGTCACCCAAGCCCAAGCGGCCGTACTCGCCACAGCCCCACGCGTAGAGTTGGTTCTCCAGACGCGCCATGACATGTCGGTCACCGCAGGCAACCTCGGTCACAATCTACGTTTGAATGCATTGAATGCCGGAATTTTACAGCGTGAGTACATCGAGTGATGCTCTTGCAGGCCGTAATTCAAGAGGTGTCTGCAGCTGAGACGTGTAGCCAACCTGATTTTTGAAGAAGGGGACGGGGATGGGCGTCATGACGTTGCCATGGCTATCAAGCACGTTGCGACCAGCCTCGTCGGTGGTCTCTGTCAGGTCCTCGCTGTTCTCGCCGGTCCCGGTGCAGCCGTCCACACAACTGCCCCACACCAGAAGCTGGCCTGCGGCTGTCAAGCATGCACTAAAGTCACGCCCGGCAAAGGCTTGGTCGGGTTCCAAAGGCGTGGCAGCGTCCACCAGCTAACAGACCACAGGTGAGGATCAAGATGCGCAATGCGTGGCGGTCGGCATCTGGCAGGGAGCTCTGTGTGTGTGTGTGTGTGTGTGTGTGTGTGTGTGTGTGTGTGTGTGTGTGTGTGTGTGTGTGTGTGTGTGTGTGTGTGTGTGTGTGTGTGTGTGTGTGTGTGTGTGTGTGTGTGTGTGTGTGTGTGTGTGTGTGTCGGCTTGTGGCCACTTGCCTTGGGTTGACGACAAGAGTGTTTGGATCCATGACCAAGCTGTCCATCGGAAAAGCCGTCACAATCCGCCATGCTGGCGCCGGAGCACCAGGTGTAGAGCTTGCGGTCAGAGGTGCATACGACATAGTGGGCTGCACCCATGGCCATGGTGTGCGGTGGATGCTTTTGTCCAAACTCTGGGCCGGCTGCGGCTTGGCGGCCGTTGCCCCTATACAAGCACATTTATAGCAGACCCACCGCATCGATTGAAAATCACAAAACAAACGTGGATTTTCAAGCTCGCTGGGAGGAAGCGGGGTACGACACGGATGACTGACCAGAGATAAAACTTGGTTTCTTGGGTGACAAAAACGCCTGGTGTGTCCATGGTGGACGCCAGCGACATGGAGGGGCTGAATGGGGTGGAGGCTTGCCGGCTATGCAAAGCACGCACCTGCTCGCACGAGGCACGAGATGTCAAGCCGATGTAAGGCGCACCGTGAGGGATGGGGCGTGAAGGTTTGTCGATGGGATGTTAATTCTGCCGGCGCGAGATCACCTTGTCGGCCCATTGACCACGCTCAACGTCAAAGACGCTGTGTTGGAGTAGCTCAGCAGCGGTGGGGCGATCCGCGGGGAGGACGCTGAGCATGCACAGGACCATTTTTTGGAGGTCGGATGAATAAGCGGTGGGATCCAGGGGTTCAGGCTCGCCCTCGATCATTTTGTTCATGACGGCGCAAATGTTGGAGGCCTCAAAGGTGCGCTGCAAGGTGCAGAGCTCATGAACCACGCAACCAGCGGAGAAGATGTCGCATTTTGAATCGTATTGCTCGCCTGGCATCAGGGCAGAGGCAGGGTCGACGTTATTTATATCAAAGGATTCGAGATGGGCGAGACATTCTGGTTTGGCGAGAGGAGGGCCTGAGACTGGAGTGGCCGGACAAACCTTTGAAGATTTCGGGTGCCATTTGATAAGGCGTGCCCACCATTGAAGCCAGGAGGGCGTTGTCCATGAGGCGGGTGGAGATGCCAAAATCGCCCACCTCTGTGTGCGCGCGCAGGTCAAGTGACAGGGGCAAGGCGAGGAAGGTGAGCCTGCTGGATGCAAAGAGGGCAAGGGAGAAGGCATGAAGCACAAGGTGGAACGCACTGAGGATCTTTTGTGACGTGACAAAGACGTTTTCCGTCTTGATGTCGCGGTGGACGATGCCACGCTGGTGAATATGGGCAATTCCTTGGAGCAGTTGATAGGCGAGCCAGCGCACATCCTTTGCTGGCAGCCAATTTGGGCGCCTGTGAAGCATGACGAGATCGCGCAGTGTTCCTCCTGGCGAGCCACATCGATCCAGGTGAGGTGTTTGGCGTGAGCGATCAAGGCGTGGGGAAAGAGGGCCGGCGGGTTGGCAAAGCGCGGGGGTGCGCTGCCAAGGTGTGTGAGTCTGGCGCATACCATCAGCATATTCCATTTCGATTAAAAAGCGCGAGTCGTCCTCAAAGGTATCGTAAACCATAATGACATTGGGATGGTCAAGCACGGCCAGCGCGCTGGCCTCGTCCATGGCCTGCGCCCACACGTCCAAGTCAGCGATCA